TATTTGAAGTTGGTCATAAGACTGAACTTAAAGTATATACTGGTGATCATGCAAATATACAGAGTACATGTCTAGGGCTCACTTTACTCATCTGCAGCAGCAGCAGCAGCAGCAGCAGCAGAAACAGCAGCAGATTGTCCGCTGTTTGCATAATCCACCCGTATGTTCTTTCCATCAAGCACCTGAAACAATCATCATGTGGCCAAAATGTGTTAGCGTAACGAAAAGAGCCGCACCAAACGCTGCATATCATCCTGCGAGAACATGGCTTTTTCTGCTGTACCAACAGATCAACGGAGCACATTTTGTTTTTACCTCGTCACTCATCTTCTCCAACGCCGCGGCTGCTTCAGTTTCTGAAGAGAACTTGACGAAGATGTATCCTTGGATCTCCCTGTGACAGGATGGCATATTACTTTCACTGTAAGGCACATTGACCAATCAGAGGACAATCCCTAATCCACACAAATCACAAATCCAACCGCATAAAGATTCAGAACAGATAAATTTGTACCTTGGATAACATCGCCATGCTGAGAGAAGGCGTCCTTGAGAGCAACTTCATTCGAGTTGTAGGACAGACCTGAAAAACTCAGTGGAAGAAACAGCAGGGCATCAGAACATCCTCAACCATTCATAAGTCAGCACATTTCTCGGATAGCTCAGTGTCTTTTATCTTTCGCAAATAAGCAGGACATGCTCATTGTTAACTAACAGGGTTGTTGCAAGCATGATCCCCCTCTTCCTAAGCAGGTTCTCAAATTGGCATCAGATCTCAACATAGGAGAGATTGGGGTCCAAGCACCAAACGAATTGACAAGGAACTGAACACCAGAGGAGAATGAAATGTACAAATCATACCTCCGACGAACAACTTGGAGCCTGAGGAGAAAGTGGCGCCCCGATCCAGCAGCTTGCCCAGAGGAACCCTGCTACCCTAGCATGTAGCTCAGCCTTGCTTGCCCAATTGAGCATCTCCTATGCTACGACCCTAGAAATATTCCCCAAATTGGTAGACCTCTCTGATCCCCTTCCCCCAAATCTGATCACTCGCTACACAAAATTTTCACGATTCGCACCCTGCTAAATCAAGCAATTCCAAGATTGCCGCTCAAGAATGGCTAATCAAGTGAAACAGTCTGAAACATTCGTTTCAAAAAAAATCTGAAACATTGCAGCAAGAGAAGATCATTCACACGGCCATCAAGATCAAGAACAAGCAAAAGGATCAACATAACAAGACATCCAAACGAAAGATACACACGATGGAGATTGGAATTGGCTATTCGATCAAGTTTTTCAGCTTCAATTCAGCAATGATTCAAGATCAGTCGAAACTACAGATTACTACTTCCTCCGTTCCAAAATAGATGACTCAACTTTGTACTAAGTTGGTACAAAGTTGAGTCATCTATTTTGAAACGGAGGGAGTACCAGTTTGGACTCCAAAGATACGTACAGGATCCATCCACCCCTCTCTCTCTTTTCTCTCTCTCTCAGATATTATAGAACTAATAAGCTACACGACGGGGCCCTATCTACTCCTCGGCGCCATGGACAGTTATATATAAATATAATGGTTTCAGGCTAAAGACATGTAAATGATACTTTTAAATTCTAATTAGTTTAAGAATTTCACCAAAGTTCAGAAAGACGTGTCAGATCATCTTCGAAACAGATTTCTCAAAGCTGGCTGGCTGCGTTCAGATCAGCATGTCATTCTAGATGAGAAGTGGAGCATGTACAAGACGAATCATGCTGCACTAGGTTTATTAACTAAATAACTATTGGGGGCAAAGTCAAAGCTACTTATCGCATGGCCATTTTGTGAAGACGGTTTCAGCAAGCAGCCAATATCCTCCGCGACTGTGAGAGAGCCAAAGATGAAGAAAAAGGATACTCCCTCCGATCCATATTAATTGTTGCTGATTTAGCACAAAGTTGTACTAAATCAGCACATATATGTACATATATAGGTGGTGCAAGGTTAGCCTTGAAACAATCTCGATTTGGACATGGCTAGCTAGCAGCACGGCATTTCTTTCTGATGCATTTACATGAAACAGCTAGCAGTAGGAAAAGCATAAATTCCAGAGTGAGCAGGCAACCTCGAATGAAGGTTCAGATGTGCGCTTCCCTCAGAAGCTTCACACGAAATGCCTTTCCATTTTGAACTGTGCTTTCCATTCCCGATACATATCGTCGGTTATCATATCCTCACAGCTAGGGGCTCACTCTGCACATCCTGTCTTGTTCAATGACAGTGATATACTTTTTGAGATAGCAAAAAAAATGTATATAATAAGTTTTTTGAGGACTTTTTTTATGAGTGATTGTTTGATCCAAATATATAGCTCTAGTTCAACAGTGCAGTTACACAACACCATAGCCTGTTAGAAACGAAATTCTTCTCGTGTCTGCCAGAGCCCAGAAGCATATTGCTCTCAGTTATTTCCTGATTTACCTATTAATGACATATACCCAATGTATGAGATTGTTCCTCATAGTTGCGTGTTCCATGCCAAATGGAACATGGGATCTGTCCTTCGGGTGTTCGAATTAAAACAGATGCCTGGTAAATCTAGCTCTGGTAACCAGTAATTAATTCAGAGTTCTGACCAACATGTGCGCTGGAGAATCTACCTTAGGTTCAGTGATTTTTCCCTTTAGTGGGGGAAAACATGCATGAATGGGAATAAGGAGGTGGCTGACTCCCTGCCAAAATAAAGGGCCTAGGAAGGTCGGATGCTGCTTGATGAATGATAATTATGTAGCGTGTCACTTGCTTGACGATGTGAACAAGTTCTGCGTTATGCCTACACTAGTTGAGCTACTGCTCATATAAATTCTTAAGCCTTGAAATAAGTAGGCCAGATAAATAAGGAATTCCTTTAACAGCTCCTTGTGCTATATGCTTGGCTCATTGAGCTAAATATGAGATGTTCCGTACTGAATCATGTGTGTTTGAAGAAATGCAAGTCTTATGTTGGTAAAATCTCCCAAATTAAGCTCAAATTTTACAGCTGCCCTTTAAATAAAACTCCCAAAAATGAGCTCTAGTTTACAGACCCATTGCCATGCTTGCCACAACATACATAATACGCTTCTGGATGGATAGCTGGTTTCCATCGGACTTGCCATATTCAAGATTTAAGATGAGAGCATAAATTGTTTCCCGAACCAGCGCTAATGTGGACCTAAAATTAGAAAAACAATGAATTAACTTCCTGTCTTAGTCGAAGAGAATTAGCTAACCAGTCAGGTGTTCCTCTGGTTTTCAGTTATCAAAAATCAGAATGATACAGGCAATGTCAAGCTGAAAAATCAGAAGACTGGTCTACTTGAAGTTGGTCGTAAGACTGAGCTTGAAATATGTACTGGTGATCATACAAAGGTACATGTCCAGGGCGCCATCTAACATTACAGATTTTGAACACAACAAACAAAGACCGGATAAGTACCTTGCTCATCTGTAGCAGCAGTAGCAGGTCATCCACTGTTTGCAAAATGCACCCGTATGTTCTTCCCATCGAGCACCTGTAAAAATCATCATGTGGGAAAAATGTGTCAGCATAAGTAAAAGAACTGCACTGAGCACTGCATATTGGCACAAGGAAAAGAACTGCACTGAGCACTGCATATTATCTTGCAGGAACTTGGCTTCTTCTGCTATACCTACAGAATCCATGAAGCACAATCCTTACCTCATCGCTCATCTTCTCCAATGCCGCAGCTGCTTCTTTTTCCGAGGAGAACTTGACGAAACCGTATCCTTTTGACTGCCCGGTCACGGGATGGCATATCACTTTGACTGTCGGGCGCGTTGATCAGTCCAAGGACAATCCCCTAATCAGCATAAAGATTCAGAACATGTACCTTGGATAACATCGCCATGCTGAGAGAACGCGTCCTTGAGAGCAACTTCATTGGTGTCATAGGACAGGCCTGAAAAACTCGGCGGAAGAAACAGCAGGGCATCAAAACATGCTGAACCATTCACACGTCAAGCACACTTCTTGCATTTGTTCAATGTTCACACAGATACTTACTAACATTTACATTTATTTAAGATTGAACTCGCTGCTTGCACGGAATTTCACTGGACGAAATAAATACATTGTGCTAGCAAAATCAGCAAGCAGGATGGTTGAGAAACTAGCATGACCTAGATAAATCTGGCAGGTCTCCAACGGAGAAGAGGTTCAGGTTCAGGCATCAATCAGATTGACCAGAAACTGAATCCCAGGCATCCTGAACCATAAGTCAGCAGCATTTTTGCATTGTGCAATGTTCAAACAGATTTCTCCTAGCACTTACGGTTTGTTCAGATTAGGCAGAGCGTTTGCACCAAATTCACCCAACAAGCAGGATGATTGAGGAACTAGAATGATCTTCCTAAGTTTGTTAGCAAATTGGGGTCCAAGCACCAAACAAATTCCCAACCGAATACCAGGAGAACACGAGAATGGGATCCACGAATCTTACCTCCGACGAACAGTTTGGAGCCTGACGAGAAAGCAGCGATCCGATCCAGCATCTTGCCCACAGGAACCCTAGCATGGAGCGCAGCCTTTCTTCCCCAATTCAGCATCACCGACGAACCCTAGAAATAATCCCCAAATCCTTCGATCCCCAGATCCCCTTCCCCGCAGATCGGTTAACCCCCACAAAATTTCACCAACCGCACCCCGCTGATGCTAGTTATTGCCAAATCGCCCCCAAGAACACCTACCCAAGTGAAATTGTGCGCACAAATGTCAGATGAAGAAGGGGATCGAGGCACGAAACAGCAAAAATTCGCGAGATTGACACGGAGAAGATTGGAATTGGCTAAACGATCAAGTTTCCAGCTTCAATTCAGAAGTGATTCGAGATCAATCGACGCTACAGACTACTACCAGTTCGGACTCCAGACCAGGCATTACATACAGGATCCCATGCTCTCTCTCTTCCTCTCTTCCCTCTCAGATGCAGAACTAAGCGGCGCGACGGGGCCATGTCTACTCCTCGGCGGCGGCGGCGGCGGCCTCCTTCTCGGCGTCGGCGGCGGCCTTCTTGTCGGCGGCGGTGGTCTTCTTGTCGGCGGCGGTCTTCTTCTTGGGGGTCTTCTTGGCGGCGGGGGCGGGGGCCTTCTTCTCGGTCTTCTTCCTGGGCGACTTGGGCGACTGGGCCTCCTTCTCGGCCTTCTCGAGGGCCCTCTTGGGGAGCAGCACGGGGTTGATGTTGGGCAGCACGCCGCCGTGCGCGATGGTGACGCCGGCGAGCAGCTTGCCGAGCTCCTGGTCGTTGCGGATGGCGAGGAGCAGGTGGCGCGGCACGATGCGGCTCTTCTTGTTGTCCTTGGCGGCGTTGCCGGCGAGCTCCAGCACCTGCGAATCCATCCAAAGAACCGAGACGAGACGAGATCTGTCAGCCCTCCGGCGAGCGCGAGAAAGAACAGGGCACGAGATCGGTCGGTTGGGTGGTTACCTCGGCGGCGAGGTACTCGAGGACGGCGGCGAGGTAGACGGGGGCGCCGGAGCCGACGCGCTGCGCGTAGCGGCCCTTCTTGAGGAAGCGCCCGATGCGGCCGACGGGGAACTGGAGGCCGGCCTTGACGGACCGGGTCACCGCCTTCTTCCTCTCTCCGCCCTTCCTGGCCATCTCTCTTCCCTCTCCGGCGAGCTCGGACCCCTCGGAATGCGGCGGTGGATGGAATGCGCGGAACTGCGTCTGATTTGGTGGCGTCTGCCGGCGGCGAAGGCGCCGGTTTTATAGGGGGGCGGGGGGCTCCGAGGGAGGGGCCGCCGAGGGAGGGTGGGCGGTCAGGATTGGTTCGGGGGGCGCGATCCGTGGGAGGGCCCGATCGGCCAATCAGAGCGCGGCGGTTTTTCCCTCCTCGTCTCGCTCCGTTTCTTTCCTTTTGTGCGGGAAGTGGGTTCGAAATTATCCCATTTTGTTGTTGGTAATATCAAATAGTTGTTGGCGAGTTTAGTTGTGTTCTTCTTTGTTTTGGGTCGAGCGTCTCTTGTCTCTCTGCTTTCGGGCACCATGTTCACGTCTCTTCTGTTCGTGTCATGTGTTGTACCACCTCATGTATTCATTCTATCTTCTTCTATCAATAAAATGATACGCAAGCTTTGCATATTCGCGAAAAAATACGCCTCTGCGGGATGAACAATCCGGTGTGACACGAGTTGAGTGGGTATAGGGCATGTTTGGATGGTGCCCTCACCACGGTATCAAATGCCAAGTTATTTAAAGAGAAGGTTAATGCCCTCACCACGAAATGTGGTGGGCAGCGGCGGCGATGGATGGGAATGTGCAGAACTGCTTCGAATTTGGTGGCATCTGCTGACGATGAGGGCATCAACTTCGTAGGGGGGGGGGCTCCATGGGTGGGGCGCGATCTGTGTGACGTGCGCTCCCCGCTGTTGGATATGGGAGGGCGAACGGTCAGGATTGGTTCAAAAAAATGTTGGCAGCGGGAATAGGCTCTCTTTTTCACATGGAGGGATTTTCGGCTCTGTTATTTTGGGCAATTATCCCATTTGTTTTTGGTATGATTTGGGTGGATCTTTTGCGTGGTAAAAGGCTCGATCGTATGATTACATTGTGTTAGGTTGATCGTTACGCGTGCATCGAATATGGGTTGGGCTATGCGCATTTCGCTCCGCGGGATGAACAATCAGTGTGACGCGAGCTGAGTGGGTGTATGGCATGTCTGGATGGTGCCCACGCCCGCCATATCAAAACGGGGCATGCCAACTGGTTGGCCGAAGATTTTGTCATCGCGAGATTGTCATGTTGTTGGCGGAAAAGCTGAATGCGATGACTGAAAAGTTGGTTAGATCCGAAATTTCGACGGCCATCCAAATGCTCACCCTCGTTCTTAGTCAACGACGAAACTTACATGAGAAGGATGAAAAGTTTTAATCATTACCGAAAGGAGAAGTGAGGGATACAACTTGTAGGCATGTACTGGACTCCATGGTTTGAAATCACTATGATGCTAGTTCATGTTGGCCTTCTTGGAGAACAACACTGAGTGGATGTTGGGTAACACGCTGCTATAGGCGATGGTGATGCCGTCACGCAGCTTGGCGAGCTCCTCTTGTTGTGAGTGGTGAGTAGTACGTGACACGGCATGATCCGAGTCTTCTTGTTGTCCTTGGCCGCGTCGCCCGCCAGTTCCAGCATCAGTGGTTCAAGGAGCACACCGAGAGGATATCACTAGCGGGCACGAGAACGACATGAATGGACTATATCAATGGTTGGGTGGTTACCTCGACGATGAGGTAATCGAGGATGGCGGCGAGGTAGACTGGGGCGCCAGAGCCGATGCATTGCACATAATGGTCCTTCTTCGGTAGGGCCTAGCTCTAGATGGCAAAACCCAGTCGGATAGTTGACATCAAGTGTGTGCAACCCAATAGAGAGGTCGCAGTTTTGATCTTAGTTTGAGAGGTACCCAAATGTGTTGTCTAAGGATATGACCATGAGCCTCCTGAAGAGTTGTCCGAGGGACTAATCGAGTTTCTGTCGGAGGGCCTCTCGAAGGGCTGTCCGATGGAGAACATCCTCGCACTTGGGAGGTTGTAAAATCCTAGTTGCGGGGATCAGCACCAATGAGCTCCACCTACTCTCCTTCCATTGCCCTTCGAGTCGGTAATGATCAGAGCAAACCGTATGCATCTTCATCGTTGTCCTAGGCGTGTACGTATAGTATGTTTTTTTTCTGTTGCGTTACCCTACAAAGCGGTCTCCACCCTCAGATCTAGAAGGTGTAAGCGGTCAGCTCGGGTGTGCGATCCACGTGGCCAGTGGTCTCTGCCGTCAAATCTGGAAGGTGCAAGCGATTGGGATCAACTCGAGAGTGCGATCTGTGTGACCAGTGGTCTCCGTTGTTGGATCTGGGAGGTGCAGGTGGTTGGGGTTAGCTCAAGGGAGGGCACGATCTGTGGGAGGACCGGATGGACCAATCAGGAGGTAAGAATTTTCCCTCCTCACTTTATTTTGTTTATTTCCTTTCATATGGGAATGAATTCTCTATCGTCGAATTTGGAAGGTGCAAATGGTGGGGAACAACTTGGGGATACGATATATGGGAGGGCTCGACCAGTCAATCAGAGCATTGATATTCTTCCTCTTTTGTCTCATTTTGTTCTTTCCTTTCGTGAGGGAAATGGATTTTGAAAATTGGGGCGCTGCGGGAGTAGACCGTTTTTTACACAAGGATTTTCTTGGTTTTGTCATTTATGGCATTCTCATTTTGCTTTTGGTATAATTCCAGTACCAAAGAAGAAATTTAAGCATCTCATGAAGCACTCAACAAGAAAAGGCATCCCATGTAGAATACCAACAAGGACATGGTGCCAAAATACACAAGCATCTGGAAGGTTGACTACAAGGAGGTGAATAAGAAGGATTTTGTTTCCTTGCACATTTTTTTTATTGTTTTGACGAGCAAACATTAGGGGAATCCCCTACGGTATAATCTTCATTAAGTGAAGAGAGTAAAAGGAGTTTAGATATTTACAAGGGGGTTGAGGTGCCCCCAACAAAACAGAAAAAAAGAGCTGAAAGAAATACAACAATAGTCTACCAAGGGTCTAGGAAGTAGAGAGAATCCAAGCTTCCAGTGGCTCCACGTCCATTGGTTTATCTCTACAAGATGACCCATTGGGCCATTGACGCAGAGACCAACTACAGTTCGGACGGTAAGTGAACTATTTCGAGCCCGGAAGGTAAGTGAACTATTTCGGGAAAAAGTGCATTGTTCGCAAATGATTATCTTTGCACTGTGTTTGTACTTGCCCTAACGATGATCATAGTTTAGGAATGATCCGCAAAGGGGAAAAAGAAATGCAAGCGTAATTCATATTTAAAAGACACGTTTGAAATTTTGAAGTCTTGTCAAACATTATCTAGAAAACTACATGCACTATATTGAGTCAATTGACGCGGTATCCGTACTTGTGCGATCATATATGTTTGATTTGATAAATTACTTTTGCTTTCACAAAAAAAGTGTAATGGAGATACTACCTTTACATGTGCAACCACGCTACCCCATCTCACTACTGCCTATAAAGCTAATTTCCTTATGTTAAGAGTGTGTTCAACTATTCATAAGTGTATATGGCTTAGAGGATATGAAAATGGAAAATATGTTTGTTGTGTGAAAGTGTTTGAGCGGAGGTCGAAAAGTGTCTATTCCACTATCCATGTGCAAGGTTGAGAGTTAGAGCATGCAGACATGTCAATGCACCATTTTCAAAACCGCAAGCCAAAATTTCAAAATCCATTTCCCACACGAAAGGAATGAAAAGAAACGAGACACATAATTCATTTAAACTCGTGAGTGAAATGGACTTAGCTCATCCCCATTCAATCGACATGTTACACGGATTCATTTCACCCATGGAGTGAAATGGACATAGCCCAACTCCGTTCGATCAACGCGTAGCGATGAGCTTACCTGATGTAAACATATGACCAAACCTTTCACCCATTTATCTCGTGGAGGAAGGGGTGCGAGGGGAACACACATGTTGTATCTTGCGAATTTTATCTCAAACAATGGAATGGACACTTTTTGACTTGGCATGAAGAGTGTCACAATTCCAACAATCCGTTCAATTTTCATCTCAACAGAGCCAAGGGAATACACTTACGGATAAAAAAGTAACTTAAAAAAAATAGTTAACTAACACAAAGTTTGACAAAAGATAATTGTGCAAACAACAAAATGGTTGCCGGTCAACTTAATGGAAAATGACAACTAGAAGAAAAAGTAACATTATATGCTACATAGAGTGGAATAAGTAAGTAATGCCACATAACCGTGTCAATGATGACAAGTGTTAAAACACAATCCATGAAAACGGCGTTGTATCCATCAGAACGCAACACTTCTTCACATGCCATATTATTATTTCATATACCCATGCAAAAGAACAAAATTTCTCACCAAATTCTCACTCTTCTATCTTCTTTGCTGCTCACCGGAGAAGCAGGGGTGCACTAACATAGTAGCAACTTCAAACCCGAGAATCTAAGAATAACATCTCATTCTACATTAATGCAGTGACATGCTTGCAAGCTGTTGATACGTCTCCAACGTATCTATATTTTTTGATTGTTCCATGCTATTATATTATCTGTTTTGGATGTTTACTAGGCTTTAATATGCTTTTTTATATTATTTTTTGGACTAACCTATTAACCGGAGGCTCAGTGCCAGTTTCTGTTTTTTTTTGCCTATTTTAGAGTTCTGCAGAAAATGAATACCAAACGGAGTCCAAACGAAATGAAACCTTTGCGATGATCTTTCTTAGACCGAAAGCAAACCAGAAGACTTGGAGTTGAAGTCAGAAACGCCACGAGGCGTCCACGAGGCAGGAGGGCGCGCCCAGGGGGTAGGCGCTCCCCCCACCCTCGTGGGCCCCTCGTAGCTCCACCGACGTACTTCTTTCGCTTATATATACTCTTATACCCTAAAAACATCAGGGGGGCCACGAAACCACTTTTCCACCACCTCAACCTTCTATACCCATGAGATCCCATCTTGGGGCCTTTTTTGGCGATCTGCCGGAGGGGGAATCGATCATGGAGGGCTTCTACATCAACACCATTGCCTCTCCAATGAAGCGTGGGTAGTT